CCGTACAGAAAGGTTATGATGCTATGTTAATTTAAATGTTTTTTTTCGAGCCGGAGCGTTTTGGTTTTTTTTATTATGATTCACCTTTTGCAACTTGGAATGGGAGCTGCACTTTATGGATGAGCTACCACTGTTTGGGTTGTGAGAGATTCCACTCTGACAGACGAACAATGGTTATGGAGACGCTGTCTCTGGCAGACTGTTTCACCTTAACTTTATTTTATAAACGTTTTTTAGTATTACCTCCTTCTAGACATTGAACTGTTTGAAATCAGGGTTAGGCCTTACTAGTCATGGGCGTTCTAATGACATTATAATGAGAAGAAAATAGGAGTAAATATTGTCTGGAGGGGAGGGGGGTGCGTGGTTTTAAAAATATTTTTTAAAGGATAGTGTGAAATATTTTGTCACAGTATGTATAGACTGGAAGGTTGCTTCAATCTCACAGTAACTCTGAAGCCTGGTAACTCTTTCCTATTTATTGCTATACCGCGCATTAACTTAACACACCGTGTTGCAGCTTGTTGATATAGTATTGTAGCCTACTGCTATCACTTATACCTTTTGTTTCTAAGATGTATAAAGTATTTTATGGCTGAAACGTAAACTGATTTTTTAAAATAAATAAGGCGCAGAGTTTTTCAAGAGGCCTGTTATGAGCACTGTCATGGTTGCTGCTCTCTGTTCTCTATTAAAAAAAAAAAAACTTCCGTGCGAAGCGTGCTCACTATCAGCAACGCCATAATCGTCAATTAATGACGATGGCCCAGTGGTTAGGTTCTTGGAGTCGCAACCGTAAGGTCGTGGGTTTGAATCCCGTCAGGGGCCCGACGTTGTGTAATAATCGTCAATTCCTGATGATGGCCTAGTGGTTAGACTCTCGGACTCGCATCCGTAAGGTCGTGGGTTCGAATCCCGTCAGGGGCCCAACGTTGTGTCCTTGGGAAAGGCACTTTACACGAATTTTCCTCACTTCACCCAGGTGAAGATGGGTACCCAGGTATAGACAGCGAAAGATCTTGTCAGTTTGTTAGTGTTTGAGCGCTTAATCGGCTGCTTGCACTGTATGCTTCCCGAGAAGCCAGGGTTGTTTCTGGGTGTTATTGGGTCTGTTGGGGTAATAATATAGTGTAAAGCGCTTAGAGCTTGCTGTCGAGCGGGGTATGCGCTATACAATGCTATTTATTCTTCTTCTTCTTCTTCTTCTTCTTCTTCTTCTTCTTCTTCTTA